CTGATGTGGGAGGCTTCTCATTTGCCCCTCTTTATCCGCTCTCTGGGGTGCTCAGATTTTGATGGTAGCCCTGTGGCTCTTCTGAGTCCTCTGTGCCGGAGTTTCCCACTGGCTGAGTGTCCAAAGAGCTACCGTTCCCCGCCAAGGGCTGCCCCTCCCCCCTCTCTGGGAGCCATGCAGACCAGGATCGCTGATCTGATGGGGAGAGAAAGGAGTTCTCCTTAGCTCTCCCCACTTCCGCCGGGGGCCCAGCATGTTCCGCTCTCAGATGTGTGGCAGTGTGGATCTTTCTGCTCTAGCTTTTCACTGTCTGGGATTCTGTTGTTGGTCTGTGACTGTTCCTTTTGTTGTATCTTGTCTGGGGAAGAGTTCATGGGAAAGCTCACTCCACCATGATGCTGACTTCACTCTGTGGCACTATTCTTAAGAATATCTTTACTCTTACAGTAATAGCTATATTTTTGAAAGGCACCAATGGATTACAAAATGAAGTACCTGACCAATGTTGTTTCTTCATTTTCCCTCCAGGGGGAGCACAACTTGGATGTGTAAATGCAGGGCTGCTGCTTTATTGTTTTTTCCTTTCAAGATATTTTATTACTTGTAAAACATAGTAGGGTTAATAGTGATATATGAGTAACAATATAAACTTACAAACTGCAAAATTATACTATTTTAGTGTCATAATGTTATATACTGTAACAAACAGTAATACTTTCATAATGTAACATCTTGATTGATCATAAATTTTTTCCTGACTCATTTTACTGATAATTCATTTATTAGATTCTCAAATTTATACTTTTATGATCTTTATTTTCAATCAGTATAATTGAAGGGACATCAGTTGTTCTTGGCAAGTGAAAGGTCACAAAAAATTTTTGATAATTTTTAAGTTTGAGAAGGATCTTTCTGCTTCTTTTTAAAAGAGAAGTCATTTAATATTTGAAAAAGTTCTCAAAAATAATCAAATTCTTTAATTTTACAAAAAGGAATACTATGTTACAGAGAGCCTAAGTACATTGTCACAACTAACCAGAAACAGACCTAGGCATAGAACTCAGGTCTGAGTCGCCTGACTTCTACTGGACCACACTCAAGAGGGCACAGCCTCTTCTTACTGGTAATTTCTAATACTAAGTTATTTTCAAAAGCACAGTTGGGAGAAAGTATAAATAAATTAAACAGATGGTTTTATATAAAAAAGTAACAATTCCTACCCACAATTTCTATTCCATATGAGTGTTTCCTTTCTTGCAGGTTTCTTTTTTTATTAGTAAGTCCATTTTGGTACAAGAAAAAAGACATAAAATTTGGCATCTTTAGTAACAGAAAAAAAGTTTCTGTGGAAATTAAAAAAACACTAACTAATGTTGCATCTACTAAAGCAACTTAAGAATATTATATGATTTTAGAAAAGCTCTGAGAGATTTTTTAAAAAATCATCTCCATGTGACTATTAGTCCAGCCAGGCACATCTCCACATGACTTCTCCTAGAGTGGCCAGTTTTCTGCTGGATCCAGCTGTTGTCAGGTCCAGTGCTCTGCATGGGCAGAGAATGATGCAGCTTCTGAAAAGCATGTACTCAGTTCCACTTCAATGGTCATTTTCTCTGGAAAGTCTAAGAGGAAGAAAACATCCCCCTCCACCTGACTGGATTCCCCTGCAGGCTTAGAGAAACAAGATGGCCTAGCTACCTGGGCAGACAGGAAGATAAATCAGTCTGTCACCATTTTATGACAAATAAGGGAGAAAAGGATTTGACATCCTAACAAGATTTTCTTACCTGTTGAACAGCATCTGAACATTTTTTTCAGAGTTTCCAAAATAGCAGATTTAGATTCTAGGTTGGAAAGGAAGAAGATAATCAATATATTAAAAATTAAATTTTCGGATTTCCTCAATCAGAAAACAAAATTAATAAAATATATCTTTAACCATAAGTACCAAAAACATCTAGTTTATCTTCCAGTTATAATTCTGTGTTATGAGGACATGACTGCTTTTCAATATATTTAATATGTACAGTGACTAACACTCATGCCATTAATTACTTTTGAAATTATAATAGCCCTATGCCCTTATTGACAGACATCAATCATAATAACTTTTCTCATTTCCTACTTTCTATTTTGTGCCAGAACATACCTGCTAAGACATTCACTTTTTATATTATTCACTTAGCGTAAGTCTGTACAATGATAGATGACAACTCAGCCATCTTGAAGGATGGGGTCTCAAATGCCATATCTCACTATTGACAAATCACCTTCTGATTTAGTGAGAGACAATGAGCATTGTCACAAGAGACACTCGGGAAAAAGGGATTTTGCTCCTTTAGTCTGTCCTTTGGGAGTCTGTGAGACTGCAAATACTTCATACTGGAAAACCTAAGGGATAACCAAGTCCAGGAATCTTTTTAAAGCTAGGGGACAATTTTTTCTACGTGAAGCTGGCATCCAAGTTTACAAACATAAGAATAAAAACAAAAAGCCTTCAGGAATCCCCAGTGCTCCATGGATTGGAGTCTGAAAACCACTCATCTTTTCTGTCCTCCATGTTTTACAGATGAGACATAACACAAGCAGTTGGTGGCAACCTGAAGACTAGAGTTCGTCTCCTGACTGTCACATCACTCCCACCCCAGACTGCTGTGCAGACCAGACACCAGACAAGATACAGCAGTCACTCCTGGGGATAATTCACACATTCCCAATTTAGCAACATTTTAGTTGATGTACGTGACAAGGCTATAGAAAAACAAGGTATTTACTACTTAAATTGTGTAATGTATAGTTAAATGACATTGAAAGTTTTCATTTCACTTACAGCACAGTTTTGATGGGCCCAGGGGCCTTCTTTCATCTGCTCACCCTCCCTGACCTCTCAAACATTCTCTGCCTTTCCTCTCTTGCTCACTGTGCTCCACCCATACTGGCTTCTTGCTGCCCACCAACATCCCAGTCACAGTCCTTCCACCGCGTCTCTGCAGCCCTGGGATATCTGCATATCCTCCTGCCATGTGACTTCACTCTGTGACTTGGTCCAGCCTCCCTGTGTTCTCTAATTAGAGTAGCAGCCCACTCACTCCCTAGCTCTCCCCATTGCCTGTCACTTACCTTCTTCATGACACAGATCATGACACGATAGACTAAGTAATTCACTTGTCTGCCTACTTATCCATTATCTCTCTTAACCAACAAAATCAAACTCCGTGAAGACAGAGATCTTGTACAAAATTTTTTCCTTAGTGTATCCCAAGCCTGGCATACAGTAGGTGTTTAAATATTTGTTGAATAATTGTAGGAGGGAATGAAAGGACTGATCAGAAGAAGGATCACACCATGGAAGTAGGTGCCATCATGAAGAGTGGGCATCCTAGGCAGGGAAAGTGGGAGAAAAGATTTCATGACAGGCAACATGGATAGCACTATGCCTTTACTACTACCTGCACATTAGCTTGTTGATGTAAATAATCCATAATCAATATATAAATCAAAATTGTGGTGAGTTTATAATGAGCCAACCATTGAGGACCATGGCCCCGGGGTTTCCTTCCCTAAGGAAGGAAGGGAACCGAAGAAGTGGGGTGTACAGAGCGGTTATATACTGTCAAACAGCATGTATCACATTGGATTGCAATGTCCCTTTTACAATAGCCACAAGATCGTCCTTCCAGATTGCCCTGCTAGAATAGCTATTGATGGACACAGCGTGGAGCAGGTGTGTTGTCTTGAAGGGCGTGGCTGGTGTCAGGTCTGTTGTCTGGAGCTGGGTGGTCACAGGATGACTGCAATCAAATCCTAGCCTAGGGAGAAATGCTTATCCTTAAGGAAATGCCAATGAGGGTTAAGTTGTATCCTTATCTTAAGGGTATTTACACTTCTATTTGCGATATGGCAAATCAGATACACAATGCAGGTGACAGGCCTTTTTGGAAAAACGAACTCAGGCCGAATTAGTTTTACCCTAAATGGCTTCCTCATATGCTCCAATATATCCTATTGTTTGCCATTTATTTATCAGGCTCAGTATGTCTTTCAAACAGAAATCATCGAGAATAGCATGAAGTAGTCACTTACCAACAGATGTCACTGTGGCAACAGAATATTAAGTGGCCTTCAAATATAACCATTTTCCCAAATAATGTATTTCACTGACTTAATCGAAAAGGGATTCTTCTCTCTTATACTGACAAATCTCCACACAGAACTTAACACTAGTGGTAGCCAATTATGAATAAAGACCTTTAACATCAAAGCCAGCCAATAGTTCTTGTTAAAGCAAATCCAAACTCGGGAACACTTTTGTTTTCAGTCACCTCCAATCCTCTCAAACTCAAGATAAGTTCCTGGCTTTGTGCAGATGGAGAAAAGCTTCTCTTTCTCTTTTTCTATTCAGATAGTGCAGGGAAGAGCCCAAGGTGTCTCCTGGTGGAACACTAACAGTTCTTTACATTAGAAATGCAGGCAGTGTTTCCTAGCTTCTTTTCTATAAGCCGAGGTCTGATGAGCTGCCCCAAGGAGAAAATATCTGGGCTCCAGCAGTAAATAAGACTCTGTGCAGTTTACCACAACAATGAACTACAAAGATGTATCAGGAAATATTTTGAACACCCACACCTAAGGTCTCAGTTTCTCTCTAATTCCATGGCTAAATGAACTGAATTCATTGTCCATCACCATACCTTTCATGATAGTTTTTATTTTATTGAATCAACATGTTATAACATCTAAGAGAAATTTATCAAAAAGCTCTCTTCAAAAGAGCTAGCTTAAGTATAGGAGTTGTAGAGGGTCAAGATTTTAAGATGAAAATGATGTACAGACCAAGTGTACTACAAAATAAAAAGAAAATGAATGAGAACAATAAGAGACAGAAGAAAATACTGATGATAAGGAATAGAATAGAGAGTAAAAGTAAGAAAGAGAGAAGAAAGAAGGTGTAGGAAATAGAAAGAGTCTGGTGAAGCATGAGAAATGGCAAAAAGGGGCACGAGCAGAGGAAATACACCATGCTCAGAGCGAATGACAAGTCAACTGTCTTCTGAGCAGGGCTCAGGTCTAGAGTCACTGGGCTGCATTTGAGAACACCACACAGTTCTAATATCCTGAGAATGACCATGCCTCATCCAGACTCTGAGGGCACTGCTTACCAGCGTTCTTCTCTCCCAGGACCTGCTGGAGCTTTGGGAACTGTCTCTCTCAGCTCTGGGACTGACAGAGTCCCCATTAAATATTCATCAACTGGGAGGGTTGTTTTGAAAGAGTAACCCAGAGAGAGCTCTCTCAAGGGTACATTTAAACCTGCCAAATCCTTCACTCACCCTTCTGAAGAATTAAGAAGCTAAACTCATTCTACAAAAAAAAAAAAAAAAAATTACTGTGAAGCAAAGTAGGAGATAACTTTCCCAGCAAAACTTTAATAGTTCCATCTTTTTTGAAGTTACCTCACAAAATTCTGAGCATAATCTAAAATTCTGGGCTCCCCACAGTTCCAAATATGTTTCAGAAATGATCTCTTTATCATCACAATGTAAGCCTGTGCCTTATAAAACAAAATATACTTGGATAGGTTTTATCTTGTAGAGAGAGGGCAGCAAGAAAAAGAGTAGGATGTGCCTCTCTGTTATGAAGAATAATAAATAAAATCACAAAAAAATATACAAAATATGCCCTCTAAAACTGGCTGAAGCACTCTCTAAACAGTTTTACATTTTAAGGAAAAATGCACTTATATAAAATTATACACCAGTTTTACTAACATCTAGTCAACTTAAGAGAAGAAGAATTCATTAAATTTCATTTAAATAGCATCACTTATGATTAGCTGCAAAATAAATGGTAGATATTTTCATTCTGGTACACCATGTCCTTCCACCAATGAAGGTGGGCTTAAACCTGTAATTTTCCTAAAAGGGGCCAACCGTATGTTCTGCCTATTTGATTACTTAATAGCATGGATCTGCTCCTCATTGCCAACAAAGGGTGTCTACACATAGGCTTTAGCTTGCATAGGTAAGGGGAAATGCTGGCTGAGTTTACAAAAAGAAAAATTGAAAATGGAGCATTATCTTTAGGATACGTGGTTAATCTGTTCAAGAACATTTTCTCCCTTGGTCAAGTGAGAAGCTGAGAGAGAGAATGCTGTCAGCCTCTTCCTTGGCCCCTTATAGAATGTCTGCATTATCTCAATTGAACGTGTCCTAAAGTGTTTGACCGAAACTTGGAAATGAGTTGATGATACAGTATTTGCAGTACTTCACACAGACTATCTTTCATTAGGCACCATTCAAAACACATTTTTGGGACATTAGAGGCCAGAAAAGTTTTGCTTCTCTGAGGAACTGTTGCTTTTAATCTCATGGACATGAAATGATAGAGAATTGTTCCCCTTTCCCTTTCTACTTTAAACCTAAGGGATACATTTCCAACTACCTTTAAAAACCTCAAGTCCTTCTGAAACACATTTCAGTGAGCTGGCTTAATTCAGCTTCATTTCATCGTTCCGTCCTAGATTCCTTTTGGTTTGATCTGTTTTCCTTTGTAATCCTTTTGTATACCTAGATATTTAAAAACTGCTCAAATCTATATTGGAGAAAAGTTGGGTTACAATTCTTTCAGCCAGCATGTAAACCCAATTTTTAGGGTTTCTACACAAAAAGTTGCTGCCATGTTTCTACCAGCTCTCCTTCCATATATTTTCCTCCAGGATTTCCTGTGACCAAATTGCCTTTCTAAAAGCCAGTCCTCTGTTCACTCTCTTGGCCAGTCACATTTTCATAGAAAGATAAAGGACTGGATTTTCCAAAGATGCAACAAGAATGATCAAGTGCTGATTCACACCTAGATACTCTGGTCCTGTTCCCCATGAATTTTAAATCTAAATTTAATTATCTCTTTCAATTTGTCTAAATCTATTGAGTAACCTTGGCACTGAGCCCCTAAACTGGTCCACAGCCTGCTTCAGCAAACACAAAACTCTCTCTCAAATGCTTGCATTCATGTGCTGAGTAGATATTTTATTTATTTAGATCTTATTCAGCAAAAGATCTTCAGTGAGTTACTCAAATACTTAAGTATATACTATGTGCCCAAAGGTCTTGAAATTTTGGGGGTCTGCAAGGAAGACAGATATGTATAAACAGATAAATTACAATACAGAAATAATTTGAATGAGATAGGAATAAAATGCCATGGGACTCCGGGAAAAAGAACCATCATGTGTTGACCTATGACTAAGATATACAGCTATGTACTGGGGCTTTGAGGAAAAAAACAACCACCATGAAGGGTGGACAGGGTTTGTACCATATAAGTAAAGGAAAATGAAGAGAGAGAAGATAAAGAGAAAACAAGATAAATGGAAAGGTTTTCGTCTTATTAATGTTTCTGTCACCAACTTTTGGAGCACACTGCTTGCTGATGTCCTTTCTAGCTAGTCTTATCCTTCAGCAGGCTTCTATAGACTTCAAAAATTCGATTGTAACAAGCTGGGCTCCTCTGTGGAGACGATGCCAACTATGTAGGGAGCCGGGGTGAGTAAAAGATTCACAGGAATCTGCAGCCCTTCTGAAGCTCACTGGTGGGGAGGTGCCACAAGGCTTCACCTTGGCCTCTCCTTCCAAGTTAACATAAAGAAGGATCGGTTCCTTCCTCAATATATGAAGATGGAGATAAACCTATTTGACAGAAGGGATTATGGAAAAATTAAAGTGAGAGCCATGAAAAAGGCAGAGGAGGTAGCACCATGAATCTGAAGTAACTGGACATGTGAATTAGTAACCAATATAAAGAAGAGCTGAAGACAAAAAACAAGCAAAAAACAAGTCTCAATTTTCTAAGGTGGAAATGCAAGTCTTTCTTCTTCAAAAAGAAAAAGGTCATTGAACCCTTTTCTTTAAAATAAAATTGAAAGGGGCCACATGTTGCAAATAATGGTTGTAACCATGATGTCACTACACATTAATGTGTAGCAATCAGTTGTTAAGTGCCCTGCAAATAGTTCATTATTTAACAATTATGTTATCAAAGTTTGCAATTGATATATATATATTTTAGCAAATAGTATACTGTGTGCAAATTTGTCACTATATTATTGACAATGTCACTCTTACAACTGAAAACATGACTAAGAGGGAGAAGGTGGTGTGACCCCAAATTGCTAGAGTCACAGCAAGAAAAGTTACAAAAGTGCGATCAGGTCATTTGGACAAAAGAATGCTATATGGCTGTTGGGTTTATAACAGATCAATTGGAGAAAAACAAGTCACTACATTAAGTTATTTTCTACTTACCTCTCTCACCCTCTCCATGATGTCATATTTTAAAATGAGACAAGTTATTATATTAAAAATTACTGCCTCTGACATTTTGAAAACTACACCAAATAATGAAGTAAAAACTAGGTTACAAACATCCTTGTATCAATTTCAACTACCATCTTTTACCAAACTAAAACTCTAATTATCACTAGTTAACTTGCAATCTAGTTCTCGTCCAATATACAAAATCAACAACTTAAAATGTTTCATAACTTTATTTAAATTTCCCTAAAATTTTAGAGGATAATATAAATATGTCTTTTGGAAAAGTTGAGAAAGATAGAGACATTAGGGAAGGTAAAGATGAAGATATTGCCCTAATCAATGAAGTAAAACAGAAGATATGAACAACTGTTAAAAAAAATTCTCTAGGAAATTGATCCATTCTACTATCTCTACACCTGGCTATTTCGTATCAGTAATTTGATAAGCAAACAAATAGAATAGTGTATTTAATGGGATCAACTCCTTTGTTGTGTGCTTTTCCTTTTAAACGACATATGCTTTTATGTGCTTGCTTTATTTTCTGGTGGTGTTACATTAGAACACCCTCATCTCTGAAGATCTTTGCATTAAGGAACTCTACCTTGGCCCTTGATCAACTGTCCTCTGTGTTTTGATAAACTCAGAGCCCTACATGGAACAATTCTTCCTACATCCTATCTCCCGTGAGTTGTTCATATCAGGGAGTATAGTCCACCAAGTCAACACTAAGCAGTGTATCAAAAGCATCGCATATTAAAAGGAGAACACACAGGGTTGGGTGTGGGCCCACATTCAGTGCCTCAGTCCAAAGAAGAAAGAAGTAAATGCATTCCTCCAGAGACTGGGATAAAAACAGGAAGTTATAAGCACGAGGCTCCATCTGCAGACCTTTAAGCAGGGACCTGGAGTAAAACTGTTGACACTGTGGATCATGGTTGGTTTTACAGGGAACTCACGAGGAAGATAATGACATGAAATAATGATAATTATAATAACAGCAGCAAACACTTCTACTGAACCAGGCACTGCATTCTGAATGTTAATACTGTGCTTGAACATACATGAACTCACAAAACCCTCAAAACACCCCGACGTAGTAGATATTATTCTCCTTACTATTTTAGAGATGAAGAGACTGATTACAGTGGCTCAAAAACTTACTCGGGGTGCAAGGCTGATAACTGGCAGAGCCCAAGCTCAGTGCTCTTATGTTATGGTATTTTACTACAAGTCCAAGTTAACTCTCTAATGACTATCTCCTCTCGCAAGTGCCAAGACCATTGTCCTCCCTTGATGGAGGTAGGTCTGTGCAGGGCAAGGACCCGGGTTTGGGAGGGCACCAGATCCCAGGTCTAGCACACCTGTTGCCAGGTGGCTTCCTCCTCTAACGGGGCCCAACACATGCCCCAGAGAACTTGACGGCAGGCCCCAGGGATCTTTCCTGCGGAACTTGACCCCCTGAAAGGGGCCTGGCACAGGGGGCTGGTTCTGATGTCCGGCCGGGTTGTTTTGGACAAAACAGGTGAGCAGAGCCAGCCATCCTGAGGCCCTCAGCATGACACCTGCACACTCAGACAGAGGCCCTCACGTGTGCCCTCCATCGTGAATTTCTCCCCAGAGCTGAGGCCTGGGCACTGGGAAGGCCAGGCCTTCCAGACTCCAGAGGATAGGCTGGGACCTGTGGCCAGAAGAGCTTGCCCAG